TGGCCGAGTTCGGTTGTATTCGAGGTAGGGTGAGTCAGTCAAGACCAGCTGTGGTTCATCCTGCTTCAAGTCGGAATCGGGGTTGGGGTATTAACTCACATGTGTACACTCTACGTCGTTATAAGAAAGGTCGGTGGCTAGATATATGGCGATAATTTAAATATGATTTATCCATACATTAATTTAAATATGGTTATGCACCCACCTATCTTTTCAACCAAAGGGAGGGGGATGCTGGATAGCTGTGAAATCAACTACAAAAATTAAGCCTACACAGGGGATTTTGAGTGCTAAATTGTCTTCACATATATAGGGGAATTTGACAGTACCCACTGATAAATTGACAGTACAGTGTCACCTTCTTGAGTATTGATTACACCACGTTTCTTTCTCCTAACTAATATAATAGAATAAATACATTGTCAAATTGTATTTACCGGCATTTGATCTATCATGGAGGTAGTACTTGGTAAACATTCCCATAATGTGATTACGTGAATAATTAGCATTTAGGTCAGCTCGGAAGCAGTCAAAGTTTTACGGAGATATATTGACATCGAAATCACAAAATGACTGAATCACAGATCCTTGTAAAATAAAGATATTCTATCCCAATAACAAGTTTTCATGGTCATACCAGGGTCATAGCACCATATTTCACACACACACACACACACATACACATACCGGTACACAACATATTTAAAAGTCAGTTTATCATGAATAGACCGGAAATAAAATTGCTTAAAAATTATGTTTTTTTTCAACATCAAACATCAGTGCACATATAATCAACTGAGATTATCTGAAAGACAATATGGTACAAAGCCCTGGGACATTTAAACAACAGGACATGTTTTTATTCATTTTCAAATTGAAACAATTTTACTACAGAAATGGATCAGTTCATCATCTGCTCACACTGGAAAACAACTAACAAATATTTAGCGTCCAGTGGCAGGCTTTGCCAATTTACCTATAATGTCATATGAACTGCATTAATACCGCTGCCACTTTTCTCATGCACAGAGCAAGTTGCGATCACATTTTTTTTCAGCTCTGAAATGAAAAATAAACAATGATGATAAAGCTTAAAACAAAAGATATAAATCTGGATTAAAACTCGTCCTCTCTACTTCCCTACTACCTTCTATGTTCTACTACATACTTGTGTGTATGGGCGAAGGTGATCAACTACTATATACCATTTGAACACCAGTGCGGTGCGAAAGCGAGCAAATTTTCTAGTCCGTTTGCAGTGTTGATTTCAGACAAGCATACAGTACTTTGACTGTGGCACCAATGAGGTTATGTAAAATGAAAATATCCCTGGGTGTTACTGTGTTACCAATCCTGACTGTAAAACTTGCACTGTATGTATGGAGAAAACAGTTTATAGATATTTGTGAAATTGTGATAGAAAAAAATTAAGACAGTGAACACATACAAAACTGTTTTTATTGTATAACAAAAACACATACAAATATGGCATACTGGTTGTTGAAAACAATTTTCGAAAGGCTGTAGTGGTTTACACCTCAAAATAATGGTATGTTCCATGACATGTCCATATTTGCTGGTGGGAAAAACTCACATAGTTTAGTGTAGTGGTGTTCCAATTTTAAAAAGCAGTAGGTACATGTAGTAACCTCATAATATCTGAACCATTACAGGGTAGTTGAGCATCAACTTTTTCTAGTTGCTAAATATGACAATAAATTCATTTTCTGAGTTTCTATGTACATGCATTATTATGACTGTGAAAATATACTGGCTAATAATATTACATATGCAATTGGGGATTGATAATGAACAGGTGAATAGTGCCCTGGGCCTCTGTGATGACTGCCCTCTTTTGGTCAAAGTTAAATTCACTTTGTTTTTAAAATATTACAACTCTTCAGAATTAATAGGTTTAAATACTGAAATAAAATGAAAAGCAAATCTTTTTATTTCTAAATCAAGATTCTTGCTACCAATCCACCACAGGGTAAAGTTATTAATAAGTGAATAAACAATAATAAATAATAAACAATAATAAATTTGGCTGAATGCATTACTGTATAAGTTAACTCATACTGTATAAGGTAGGTTTGAATGTCATAATTTGATTACCAGTTTTGCTAAAAATAAATTTGATCTTCAAACTATGAAATGCTCCTGTTAGTTGGTTCCCGGCATCCCTTGCAAATGGCAAGTAGGGTGCAGGTTACTAGTAATCACTATTTTTTTTCCACTGGGCTGTGATTCCGGCCCTGGACTCAAACGACTGAGTGACATAATTTTCGTAAGTTTCGTTCTACGCAAATATGTTCCTAATATTGCCATGTTCATTCATTCCGCCTGTTTATACTTCATACTTTAGGGGGTTCTAACATCTCTTGCTATTTTTGTGTGAAGTGATAACAAAAAAAAACAGTTTTATATTCATGTAATTTTTGAAAGCTGAAGGAAATTGTTGACGTCAGGTAACCACGGCAAAGAATGCCGTAAATATTACTAGTTACTGGCTTCTTCTGGATTGGTGCGACATGACACTTGAGGCGGTGACCAACTAAAAGCTCCTAGGTAAAGAAAGTGTTATTGCATACAGTAATTCATCCGCTAAAACTGACAACTCCTGCAGAAATTAACGTATTAATATAGATAACTATGTAAGATCTGTACATACATATTGATGGCTTTTAAAATTTATGTGATTATTAATGACGAAAGTTCAGAGGTTAAATATTTGAAGGTCAGCTTAAAATAATTACGAGGTCACAGATATGGCAGTAGCGTGTGTGTTTCAAATTTAGATAACATAGAAGTTGATGTGGTCATTATGCCTATGCTATATTTAGAAATGGCATGCAAATTACGACAGGGTATGATGTTAACTGTTATAAATATGACAGCTAATTATTAACAGTGTGCAACTGTCAGTATTTACTAGTACACCTCATTTATGGGTTATGTAACTTTTACCAGCGCAGTGTTATTTCAAAATTTGAAATTCGTTTTTCAATGCAGTCTGCGGTGAGTACACTATAAACTGTTTAAATCTCTTCACTTGAAATGTTACCTAATTTGGAGGCATTTATGAGGACTTATGCAAAAACCATCATACCTAATTGTCTTAAGAACCCCAGTGGAAACTTCACTTCTACAATATTACATTATTTTTCCTGAATTGCCAACAAATATTTTTAGGGTATACTTATTGTATTTATTCACAAGCCATACTTGCATGCTATGTTATATTTGTAGTGTTATAATTTCAAGGTGGGATTAAAATACAATACATGTTCAGCTCCAAACTAATGTACTGGAGGAACATGCAGAAATGCATCTCAGTAAAAACTCAGTGAATCACTATTGATGCATCAATTTTCAAATTTCATTTATTCATTGTTGTTTGACAATTCATCATTGTAGCTGGGCAGGTGTAACGCAATCTATCAGACATATCTATGTGACATGCTTTGTACTCTATTAACTTTTTAATATATGGTAGTTTATTAAAGTGGGGATTAATCACTGATTAAATTATTAAGTCAGTGTCATATGATTCAATCCAAACATATTTGTAATAAAGGGAGCCATATGCATGTGTACAGTGTCATGGTCAGTTGCATGTATACTGCAATACAATATATTAGTTCTGAAGATTTATTAATTGATTATTTTGTTATTAATTATTAGGTCTCTCAATTAATTATTTTGAATGAGACGAGTGAAAGAGAAGGTGAACCTCTGCCACATCTTGTATCTAATGCTGAATCTGTAATGAGAGCAACGGATGACTTAGTACAAGTCAGTCAAAGACTAGTCAGAGAGACTATTGATGAAGTAAGTTGAATGTGTTGTACATGATATGTTGTATTTCTGGGATTGAAGATCTGTGTTTTCTGTCTGTAAAGCAAAATGCAGGTATGAAACAGACAGATAGCTATATTTAATTTGAGTGAGTTTGTCAGCCACCCTGTCCCATATACAAGATGAGATGGTAGCTGTAATTTTTTCTGGATAATGTTCATGTTTATGTTATAATAGTCCTACTTAGGATAATGTTTTATTATGTTTTGAAGTTATTCATCATAGACATTGTTATTGAACGAGGAAAAACACTGCAACAACTTACAACAGCTCATCAATTTTGTTGTCAAACTGAAACTACACATGTGTCTATCAGTCTTGCAATTATGTGCTAATTTTACAGGAATTGAAGCGGGAAATGCCACGTGCTTGTGAAGCTGTTGGCATGGCTGGTAAAAATATCCTACTAGCTACACAGCGATTAGAGCTAGAGACACATTCTAAGGAAGCAAGGAAAGATATGGTGAAATCAGCAAAAGATGTATTGGAAGGAACCATGAAGGTACGTGTAAATGTATGACTCAATGAATAACTGAAGGATTACTTTTTAGCTCCACTGTTGACTTTATCGAGCAGAGCTTATCTTACAAGTGATTGTCTTTTGCTGTCCAGTGTCTGTCGTCCGTGTCAAACTTTTACTTTTTCGACTTCTTCTTGAAAACTACTAGGCTGATTGTTTTGATACTTGGTGTATGTTTACTTTGGGTAAACCTCATTTCATGATGATATCTTCTATTCTCTAATTTTGATGAATATTTTTGACAATTTTGGTAAAAAGTGATATTTTTGTCTTCTTGTCTGTCTGATTGTTTTGATATTATACATAAATGTACATCAAGTGGACCTCAGATTTGTTAATTTTGTGATGATATCTTCAATTCTCCAATTGAAATGTGCATTGCTAACAGCAGAGAGGCTGCTTGTTTAATCATCTGACCATTGTCGAATTATATTTATGTAAGCTCAATTCCCAATTAAACAAGATGCATTTTTTATTGTTGGGTGCCAAAGGTCATTAACCTCAGATGTGAAATGATTTTATTTGATGGTTTTTAAATTTTCTATTTTCGCTGATAAGTAAAATCTGCAGATTAAATCCATGCGAATATGTAAAATAACAATAGAAGTCAGTGTTTCTCTGCCAAGTCTGTGAACTTAAAGCCACAAGTGAAATTGCTGAATCCTTCGAAATAATGAAATTATTAAACACCAGTGAAAATAAATGGTTTTACAGTATTTGTGGATAGTTTTTTACTTTTCTTATTTTTTCTGTTTTTTTTTTTTTTTTTACATTTTCAGGTCTTGCTAGTGTCTGATGGTGCTGAGGTGCGAAAAATAATCAAGGCAGCTCATTGGTTGTTGGACAGATTGACACTGCTGCAATCAGTGCAAACCATGAAGGCATTAGTCACATGCTTTAAGGTAATGAATAATTAAAAATAAATTAATTAATGGTACTTCTGACAGTATGCTGTGTCAGAGATTTAGTGTATGCATGCAAAATCTAAGTGTGTTCATTGTTCTTCCAAGAAATTTATTTCAAACAAATTGTGATGATGAGAATACTTATTAAAAAAACTCAATTGCATTATTCACTTTACAAAACTCTTATTGTATCAAGAGTGATACAACTACTCACAAATATTCAGTTTCCTGCAATATACTAATTTGATTTAAAAAGTCAGCAATGGCATTGTCAAAACGAAGCACTGTGGCAGTCAGGAAAATGACTGACAGTGGAGGACAATCGCAATTTTCTATCTTACAGGGAACTTTAGTATCACTTTATCTCTTTCCTGCCATTCATTCAGAATTTTTAGAAGGGGATGCATTATAGAGAATTTCTTCATCGATAATTTAGTTTAGTGTGCTAATATTTACTTTCACTGATTATAAACAAACTTTTATTACACATGAAATATATACGGTATTATACTTCAAATGATTCACTTGTACTGGATTCTGCCATAAATTCGACCATCAGAAAAATCATCCTAACATTGCTAGTAATAGTGAGTATTCATTGAATGGAATAGTCATTAATTATTTTTGTACTAACCATGTTTATTTTAACATCTTGCCAGCACATAACCAGTTATAATTATACATATTGCTAGTGATAATTAGTGAGCATTCATGAAATTGAATAGTCTATTATTAGCTAGCATTAACCATTTACAATTTAGCACACAGCTAGTAATAGTTAGCAATTTTCCATGGAAATTAGAATAGTCCTTTATTAATCAGTAATAACCATTTATAATTTACCAATTGCTAGTACCGGATTCTGTCGTAAATTCGCCCATCTGAAAAATCGCCCTGGGCAATATCATGGCTGGTGGGCGCTTATTTGGGTTTCAAAATTACGAAATATAGTCATCAAAAATTTTTTGTGGGGACTTCTATTTTCATTGAAAAATCCAACTACGTAGACTTTCAACGCCGTCAATTGGGCCACCCAAGACGAAAGAAAGTATTGCAGAAACTAATCTAAAATTTGATACATTTTTTTCTTGCTGAATTAAAAAGTAAGACCGCCTGAAATTTCATTACAATGTCACTCAGTGTCATTTTTCAAATCCTTTTTTGACTCCCGTGTGCGAAGCACAAAAGGGAGTCTTTGCAGTTACCCTGTCTGTATGTCTGTATGTCTGTATGTATGTATGTATGTATGTATGTCACTTTTTTTGTTCCACCGTTATCTCAAGAACCACTAATCAAATTTTCGTGAAACTTGGTACATAGATGCTCTGGGATGATGCGCAGAGTTGATTAGGTTTTGGTAAAAATCTATGAATATTAATTACTTAATTTGCATGATAATTAGCTGATTTTTAGCTGTTCCAAGACTGTTCCACTGATATCTGAAGAACCACTCATTGGATTTTGATGAAACTTGGCACATGGATGCTCTGAACTAGTGCGCAGATTTGATTAGTTTTGGGTAAAAATCTATGAATATTAATTACCTAATTTGAATGATAATTAACTGATTTCAAGCTGTTCCATGACTGTTCCACTGATATTTGAAGAACCACTCATTGGATTTTGATGAAACTTGGCACATGGATGCTCTGAACCAATACGCAGATTTGATTAGTTTTGGGTAAAAATCTATGAATATTAATTAC